AGCCAAAACAAGCCGAACACGAACGAACAAATCTTCATTCGTGTTCGGCTCGTTAACTTAGCAAACGAGCAGAACACGAAGCGTTCACGAGCCGTTTTGACAACCCTAATCGTGAGATAAGATTTAATTCAGTAAAAAATAAAAATGGGCAAAATATCTAAACTATATAAGAAAATAAAATTTATTATTTATATAAAAAGTTATAAATTACCGTCCGACTATTTATGGGATTATTTTTATATTATATTATATTAAAAAATTAATTCATTTTAAAGTTTTAAAAATAGGAATAAGAGTATCTACCGTTAAAAAGAGAATAAAGTGGTCGGCGCAACGATGACGAATCAGGTTGAATGACTTTTAAAAATAAATATTTTAAAATTTTACAAAATCGAAATAAATTATATCCTTAAATTTGAAATAATTTATGAAAAACAATTAGTAATAATTGCTAAATTTGAAATTTTAAATATTTCTTAATTTAATTTTAAATTATTTATAAATAAAATAAGAGATATTTGGCGATATATTATACAAATACTTAAATCTTATAAAAATTTCAAAAATATATAAACTCTCAAGAAAATCTTATTTTTAACATTACTATTAACTTTAATTTTAATGTTCATTATTTTTAATGACAATATTATTTTGCATTTATCTTAAAGAGTAAAAGGACTAACAGCCTGTTTGGGGCAGCTGTTGATTATTTATAACCTGTTGATAAGCAGATTATTCTAATAATCTGATAATCTGATAATATGATAATCTGCAGATTATCAGAATAATCTGGTTTGTTGTTTGGGGTAGCTTATTCAGAATAACTTATTGGTAGTTATGACTGTATAAATGACATTCATGCTCATGTCTGGTAAAACTGTTTGAGACAGCTTATTCAGAATCACTTATTGGTAGTATAGAAACAAATAATGCAGAAGCATAAAATCATCACTGATCAGTTTCAAAAGATGAGAGTGCTCATACTCTCGTGAGTACCAGAAAAAATAAAAAAAAGAATAAAGACAAGTACAACTACAATGAGAAATATTTAAAATATTTAATTTCAAACTCTGGCTACGTCTGTTCTTAGCTGCACTATCAACCTGGGAAAACATTGGATTTCCATCACTGCTGGCAGTGCAACAAGTGGGACTGTCAGCCCATCGGAAGAAACTGCAACGAGTTGAAGCACCCTTGCGATAACCGTAAAACTCTCCCATAACTAAGAGCTGACGCGATGTGAGTAACGGAGTCGGTAGTTCACAATAACACAAAACAACTCTATCTGTCACTGATATCCTAGAAGTCATGTTTGTATAACTGTGAAAAAAAAAACAAAAAAAAAATCGAATGTTAGAACTTATCCCAAAAAAAACTAAAATACACATTAAAATTGATCTACACATATACGAAGAAAAAAAAGACTTGCTGGATTAGCTGTTATATATAACATCTGCTATAAACTCTCTTAGAGCAGTCATCTCAGCCACACCCTCCGCGTCGTGAACTTCAAATTCATTAAAGTCATTATCATCCTCAAGAACTAAAAGCCCGATCATAATTTATGATGGTTCTTCTTAGACATTCAACTCATCGTTATCAGCCATACTAAAGTCTGTATTTGAACATGAAGGGTGTCGTCAGATGAAGTTATGAAGTGTCATTGTTGCCACCAGAATATGCACCTGCTTCTGAAATAGATATGACTGCATATCACGTAGGATTACTCATTTCTTCTTCCAAACCCCAAACGTTCTTTTAATTACCCCACGTAAAGATAAGTGATGTTTCTTAAACATTTCTTTCCTACCATGAATAGTGTCACTTACTAGCTCAAAATCAGGAATATGAAACATAGTATTTGGATATGGCTTCAGATAACCCCTCTGCATAGGGTATCCAACTTCAACCAAATAGTATTTTCCTGTTATGGAAGATATTGTTATTTGCAATAAGTACCTATAATTAGGAATTTTATAAATCAAAACATACCTGAAGGTGAATGAGGAAAACCCTGCGATCTATTCCTAGTAGAAAATTGGCTATCATGTGCGCTCCCTTCCCAGCCCACCATAACATATGTTAAACACATGTTGAAGTCACAAACCGCCATAACATTTTGGGTAGTTGAACCACTTCGACCAATATAAGCTACATTGTCCTAGCTGGGTATTCGGGCATCAACGTGAGTATCGTCAATTTCACCTATGCAGTTATGTTTTACAGGGTTAGAAAATATTTATATTTTGATATGAATGTAAATAAAAGAATAGTCACCTTGAAGTAAGGCATGTAACGGGGATCGGATGTGATTTCTCCTGGAGTATAGCAAATGATGGATCCTCTGGCCTGATGATTTTAGCGGCTAAGCTAACAAGTGTCTGTATGCCTTTGGAGAAATAATAGCTTATTGTCTCTGATGAATGCTAAAATCTCTCCATAACACCCCTAAGTGATTCATTTTGTGACAGAATATATAGTGTTATAGCCAATACCTCCCTTCTCGTCATTCTTGAAGAGCCTTGGAGTCCGTGATTAAGAAATAACTCGTGCAGGAGATCCATAAATATCGGTACAGTCATTCGAAATATGTTATAATTTCGAAATATGTTATTGAACCTAATTAGATGTCTAGAAAGCATCTCACCAACTCATTTATCCCCAACGAAGCTAGAGGTCATTCGGGGTATACGAACACTGCTTGATTGGTAATACTCCAACAATAATAAGGCAATAGCTGCAGTTCATGTCATTCTCTTATGACGTTCATGTAGTGGATCCATCATAAAGGAGGAAAGATCTCAGTTAGCTCATCAATTATTAATCTATAGAGCGAGCTAGAAATAACCAATGTGAAAACTCAACAAGTTCGAATAAAATAAATGTAGAGCTCTACTAATATGCATTCAGAAATCAAGTAAAAGTACATTTAAAAAAAAACAAAACTCCAAATAACATATGAGTACATAACTTCGAAGAGTACAAAATACATTTCTTAAAAAGGTCTAGAAACTCAATCATCCACAATAACATGTAAATCTTCGACTCGCAACTCTGGTTCCATCGCCATAAAAAAATATGTGCCTACGTGTTGGATCCTCATGTTTTTTCATACATATTGCATGAAAGTGCTTATCCGCTACTACTTTATGTATGGTATACAAA